ATATATATTATATATATATGTGTATATATATATTATATATATACACATATATATATAATATATATTTGTATATATATATATATAAATGTATATATATATGTATATATATATATATATATATATATATATATATATATATATATATATATATATATTATATATATTTGTATATATATATATATATATATATATTTATATATATATATATTATATATTTGTATATATATATATATATATATATATATATATATATATATATATATATATATATATATATATATATATTATATATATATATATGTATATATATATATATATATATATATATATATATATATATATATATATATATATATATATATATATATATATATATATGTATATATATATATATATATATATATATATATATATATATATATATATATATATAAACTTATATATATTTATATATGAATGGTACAAGTTCTATATATATATATATATATATATATATATATATATATATATATATATATATATATATATATATATATATATATTATATATATATATATATATATATATATGTATATATAGAACTTGTACCGATTTTGTTCAATTGAGCCTCTTCGGCAGTTAACACTTGATTCGATGTAAACTTGGAATTAAACACACGCGACAGAGTATTGTTAGCAGCTTATGGGAGTTAATTAGGCGACTTTGAAGTGTTGTTGATTTGATGCCATATTTTTGTGCGTACTTCCTAATATATAAAGTTTTATGTAAAATAAATTTTTTTTTTTTTTTTTTTTTTTTCTGATTAACATCGTATAATATTATTACAATGCACGTATACATATGGAATTTCATAAAATAAAATATAGAATATACATTACAACAAAATTAAGTTAAATCAGATAGGGGCTCAAAGAAGATAAGGATAACATTACGTTATCGCAATATTTTCATAGAACCCCTAGGTACAAGTTTAAATAAAACAATGTAGGAATAAATAGCTCGTATAAAAATATAATAATAACAATGTTATCATTAAAAAGTCAAGACAAATTTAAATTAATCAAAAAAGTAAAAAGAAAAAACTCTATCTTAAGTTCAAATTTTAAAAATTTCTTTTTTTAATTGAAACTTAAATGAATTTAATGAATTTTGACAGTCATTCCATAATTTAGCTCCTCGATAAGATATACAAAATTCTGAGAGTTTGTTACATTTCAAGGCAATTTAAAGTTTTTATTTCTATTTGATCTTAGACCACACTTTTCATTTGAATTTATTTCAAACTTATCTTTAAAGTTTGCTGGCAAGAGGTTGTTATAGTATCTATACATAAAAATTAGATGTTGATAAATATTTATTTCAAATATATCCATCATTTTCATATCTCTCATAAAAGGTTTTGCATGTTCACGTTAATGTTTACAGTATATAATACGGCAAGCGTGTTTTTGGAGCCTATAAATTTTTTGAAGTTTTGAAGTTTGCGTACTTGCCCATGATATATTTTCATAATTAATAAAACAGTGTATCAGTCCAAAGTATATTAATTTGAGACTTAACATATTGACGTATGGTCTAACCCTATACATTACGCCAATGGTTTTGGTAATTTTCGAATGTATGTAATTTATATGGGGAAGCCAGGATAAATTTTCATTGACAAGGATTCCGAGGAATTTTATACTCGCTTGCTTTTTAATTATTGTATCATTTAAGTACAGTTCGCGCAATTTAAGAGGAATGTTTAATTCTTGTGTTTTTTTATGGAATAGAGTATAGTTGGTTTTCTCAACATTAAGTGTGAGTTTGTTAGCTTTAAACCAACTATTTACTTTATTCAATTCTATGTTTATATCTGTATAAAGATGTTTAATATGATTATTGGTAATAAATAAATTAGTATCGTCTGCAAACATTATTGAGTTCAGTTTTAATGATGCATTACAAAAGTCGTTAATATAGATTAAGAATAAGAGCTGACCAAGGATTGATCCTTGTGGGACTCCGCAAACGACATTTGATATTCCGAATTGTACATTATGAACATATTGCTTTCTATCAGTAAGAAAACTTTTAATCCATAAATAGGTTGTATTAATAATTGCTTAATTTTTTGTAAGAGAGTGTAATGGTCGACTGTGTCGAATGCTTTAGATAGATCCATAGATACTCCTAAATAAATTTGTTATTGTCAAACCCATCAGTTATTTGGTTGACTATTTCAATAATTGCATGCTCAGTTGAGTGATTTTTTTGAAATCCGAATTGTTTTGGGTAGAATAAGTTATTTTTAGTGAAATATTCGAATATTCTATTATAAATTACGCGTTCAAACAATTTTGAGAATAAAGAAAGTAAAGATATAGGTCTATAATTTGTAATGTTCGAATGATCGTTACCTTCGTAAATTGGGATTACTTTAGCTATTTTAAGAGCATCTGGGAAAACACCAAACTTTAATGAGAGTTTTAGTATATAAAATAAAGTTTTGCTTAACCTAGTTTTGTTAAAAATAACTATGTTGCTAGGTATTTCATCATATCCTGGGGATTTATTTTTTTAAAAAGAAGAGTATGCTGTTTCAAATTCATTATAGCTTAATTAATTATTTACCTCTTTCGTTCTAGTCTCTTTTTTATGTATATTCGCGGCATTATCCTAAAATTTTAATAATGTTATGAAACAAATTTTCCAAATTTACTTGGGGAGGATTCGTACAGTATGAATCCTCCCCACGAATAACTGTACGAATGTACCCCAAACAAAAAAATAAACATATAAACTCAAAATAAAAATAACGGCTAAGGTTAGCACAAAAGTTGATGTTTACATAATAATTTAAGGCACTTATTTAACAGCATAGTAAATCATATTAACAACTTTAGCAATACTTATTACAAATATATGTTTTCAAAGATAGTTAGCAAAATTACTTTTGTTGTGCGAAAATGCTTATTGACTTGCCCCACAGATGCGGTGCTACGGCGTATGGCTTTTTTTTACTTAAACATAAGCGGTCCTTACGCACACAATAATACAAACTTGTCAACACCTAAAATCAGTGTTGCCAACTGGCATTTTTTAATGCCAAATTTAGTAAAATTGGCATTATTTGGCGGACTTTAAAACGGCGCACCCCAAACTCGGTAAACAACGAAAGCTTTCGTTACAAAAATTCTCGGTAAATATACTGAGTATTTTACAGAATGGCAAAACTGCGCCGTTACGACAAGTGCCAAAATGGATTCCTCGAAAGAAAAAAAAACAAACTTTTTAAAACCATTTTTAAAATTTTAATTTAAATATTTACAAACCATATATAAACATTTAAAATTATAAAACTAAAACATTTACACCTGAACTACTGATATTAGAATTAAAATAAGTAGAAGTTCTTTTTAAGCTTTATTATTTTAAGTAAGGTTTTACTATTTTACAAAAGCTTACTTGAGAAATGTTTTGTAATAAGTTAAAAATTTACAAAAAACATTAAAAAAAATTTATGTATAGGTGTTAACAGTTTTAAATCTCAAATAAATAATTACAATATATTATTGCTTTTCAAAATAAATGTTCTGATATTCTTCAGTTTACTTTTCTTTCATTAACTTTTTTTAATTCAAAATCTTCCCTATCTTTTTCAATCTTTAAATGTCTTTTTTTCTTAATCTCATTGTTTTAAGCTTTTCCTCTATGTATATTCTTCTCATCATAAGTATGTGTATCTTCTTGTCATCAACCAAAAAAAACTTTAATTTAAACTTCATCCTATACCAAAAGGACTCAATGTGGTTTATTGTTGTCCCTGTTTCAGGGTCAACAAAGTTTGTGGTATGGTTAACAGTTGAATGAATATAGCCTAAGTTGCTTAAATTATTGTACGAAGCCCATTTATCTGATAGTATCTGATTGTATAGTTGAACCAGGAGCAATTTAAGTTTGAATCAAAGGTACTAATGTATTTAGAGGATTGCATAAAAATACTAATGTATTTTTATGCAATCCTCTACCCTAATCAAAAACCCTTTTTTATTTGTTTTATCATAAGCCCTGAAAATCCAATACTTTTTAACGTTGTGACCCACATTATACTTGCGTTTGAAAAATAAAGATTCATTAATTTGAACTATGTGTCCTGGACCTCCCAGCTGGTTTACAGGTGCAACATCTAAAACTTTGAATGAGCAGATGTCTCTGATACCATTGAACTGGTTGATTGGCTTATCCCTACTAATTCAGCAGCAGCAGCAGTAACAGTGACCTCTGAAACCCATAACAACATAAGTTTAAGTATATCACTTACACTTAAAGATGTTGAACATTCAAAAAAACCACTTCGTGTCTTTGTCTTCTTACAGCTGCTGCATCGCCAAATGTGTTTATCCTTAAAGAAAAAAAGCATCAGAAAAAGTTTTAACAATATCCAATTTAACAGGATTAGATTTTAGGAAAGTAATTTAAGCCTTTATAAGGATTAATAACTCATAATAATGTAATAACTCATTTGATAACATAATAACTCATAATTCATAATCATAATCATAATAACATAATGACTCATTTGAACTCATAATAACATAATAACTCATTTGATATTTAATATAAGCCAAGTCTAATCAGATTAGTATTTAAAATGTAAACAAGCTAAAGTTTTATTTAAGTTATTACTTTCTTTTATAAAGCCCTTATGATATAATACCATTATACAATTATACCATTATACAATACAATTTATTAGCTTTTTTCTTTAGTGCTTTCAATAGATTCTGCCGTAGAAGTGGTCTTGCTCGAAGTTATCGTGTACTGAAGCGAACTAGATAAGTTGAAAACGTGCTTAAGTCTAATTTAATTTATTAGCCAATGAAAATCGACTTTTATTTTTCGTAACGAAAATTTTCGTTGTTTACCGAGTTTGGGGTGCGCCGTTTTAAAGTCCGCCCATTATTTTAACATGTTGGCATTTTTTGGCATTTTGGCATTATTTTGGCATTTTGGCATTTTTTTGGCATTTTTAAAAAAACTGTTGAATTGATTTTTTTTTTCAGTTGGTTTGTATTTAATTTGTATTAGAACATTAAGCACAATGTCGAGGGTAAATTCAAGAAAGTACCTTGAAAAATGGGAAGCGGATTATCCTTGGCTTAAAAAAAGCTCTGATGGTACTGAATCAGCATTCTGTACCCTTTGTCGTGTGACTATACAACCACGGAAATCGTCTGTAGAACAGCACAGTGGTACTTTTAGACATGCTTCAAGAGAGAAGCATCTTAACACAAAAAGCCAGATTACGTTTCCTTTAGTATCAAAGAAAGCAGACTGTGAAGCAGATATTCATCTTGCTCTTTGCGTGTGTTGTCATGCACCCATTTCAACAATAAATCACCTTTGAGATATCATTTCTCTTTATGGAAAAAATAGTCCCCTTGAAAACCTTCGTCTGCATCGAACCAAATGTACCCAAATAATTAAAAATGTAATTTCTTCATTAATCGAATCAGAAATTTCTGAATCAATGGCAGATAAACCTTTTTCCATCCTGATTGATGAATCAACTGATGTTTCTTTGACAAAACATCTTTGCATTTGTGCTCGATACTATTCAGATGAACAGAAATCAGTTATCGATGACTTTCTTGGTTTAGCTGCTGTGATATCAACCACTGGTGCAGATCTTTTTGATGTTTTGGAAACAAAGTTGACGTCTGTTGGATTGTCTTTAAAAAACTGCATTGGGTATAGCTCAGACGGAGCTTCAAATGTCATTTGATTTCACAATTCGGTTTGGTCTCGTGTTCGGGCAGTCTCTCCTAATTGTATTTTAATGCGCTGTACATGCCACTCCTTGAACCTCATTGTTCAACATTCCTTTGAATTAATGCCATCAAGTGTTGGCTTTCTGCTCAGTGAAATTCCTTCATTTTTTTCAAAAAGTTCCATTCGACGAGAAGAGTTTAAAGTACTTTTTCAGACAATGGATCCAAGCAATGAAAGGATAGGAACTCCATCACCATTTCAAAAGTATTCAGCTACTCGATGGCTCGTCAGAGGGAAATGTCTTTACAATTTGATGGTGAATTGGTACGAATTAAAAGCCTATTTCTTATGCTTGCATTAGGTATAGAGTTACAACAATTAACAACATGTTCAAAGATGAAACTCTCTATCTTTATGTCGTCTTTTTGACACCAATTGTTCAAGAATTTGAGCGTTTGAATGCTCTTTTTCAAAGCACTAATGTGGATCCTGAGAAGCTAGTTTCAGAGCTAAACCTACACTACAAAAGTCTACAACAGCGTGTTCTTGACAACCAAGGAGTTCAACTGCCTCTAAAACGTGTTGACTTTGGGGCAAAGTTTTTATCAGATTGCCAAAAATATATTGATACTTATCCTCAAACCCAAAAAGAAATAGCCAGAAAAAACATTGAAAGTGTTCTAACACGTTGTCTTCAATTTCTTTTGCGTCTTTTGAAAGAGCTTGATCAACGTCTACCTGAAAACAAAGAAATTTTTCAAGGTCTATCTTATCTTTCACCATCAAAGGTTCTGCATCAAAGTTCTAAAATGCCATTCACTCATCTGCCTTTAAGGCATATTATGAAGGATAAAGCGCAAAACATTGAAGATCAGTACAGAAAAGTAAGTTTGGTTGACTGGTCTTCTACGGAGCTGTTTGAAAATTCTTGTATACCAAAAGATACAACTGAGTTCTGGACTGCAGTTCGCTACTACAAAAATACATCAGGAGATGCAGCATTTAAGGAACTAGCAGACTATTGCTTAACTTGTCTTGTTCTCCCTATATCAAACGCTTTTGTGGAACGTATTTTTTCTCAGGTCACCTTTGTTAAAAACAAACCAAGAAACAGAATGTCAGACAAATTGCTCAGCAGTGTAGTGCAATAAAAGCCTACCTTGCTAGCCGCAACAAATGTTGTAAAGACTTTAAAATCAGTGACAAAATGTTAACTAAATTGGGAACGGACATGTATTCTGACGATGATGAATTAGTCGAAGATGATCTCACTCTAATTGATGATTTAAACTAAAGGAAGTTTGATATTGAGACATTTTTTATAATTCTTTTAACAGAATTTAAAATTTTCTTTAACTCATATTTTTTAACTTTAGATTTATATTTATTTGAAAGTTGAGTGAACATACTTATCTATTTAATAAATACATAAATAATCTATGTTAAACGTCGTTTTTTTATTGAAAAATATATAAAAAATATGTTAAAACTGATTAATATATGACTTTTAAAATAGTTTTATTGAATATATAGTTAATAAATAAGGTTCAATGTTTTTTTATAAAGTTTTTCTGCTATTTTAAAAGTTGGCATTTTTTTTGGCATTATTAATAAAAATTTGGCATTATTTGGCATTTTTTAGACAAGCATTTGGCATTTTAGCGCAAAAAAAATCTGGCAACGCTGCCTAAAATTTGGAAGATAAGACCACTGTACGAATGCTGTAGTAGATTATTCCCACCGCCTGAATTATAATAATCTTTTATCTGCGATCAGTGTGCCAAGCAATATAAAATGAACTCCACTATCAATAAGTTGAATAAAGCATTGGAAAGGTGTTGAGTTTTTTAGTTTTTTATGGTCCTGTTATTTTATGTGATGTTTTACCTCCTCAGTTTTTTGACCATTTTATTCTTTTATCTAATATTGTTTTTATGTTGAATAATAAGGTATTATCTGAAAATGTAATTAATGAAGCCATATTATTAGTTAATAGATTTGTTTATATATATATATATATATATATATATATATATATATATATATATATATATATATATATATATATATATATATATATATATATATATATATATATATATATATATATATATGTATATATATATATATATATATATACATATATATATATATATATATATATATATATATATATATATATATATATATATATATTATATATATATATATATATATATATATATACATTTCGAACATCGCATTAACAATAAATTTGTAAAAATTTTAATAAAAATAACAATATTTTTTATTCTTGACATGTTTCGTAGTCTCGTTACATTTTCAAAAGATTTAATTTACAATTAAAACTTTGGTAAATAAATTTAAAAACTGAAGACAGTACAGAGAAAAAATCATAATTAGTTAGTGTTTGTAAAACACTAATTATGTCATTTATTTATTTTATGAATTCTTTATTTATTAATTTTTTTTAGCTATAAAAACCCAAACCAAAAAGAATGCATAAAGTGCTTTTCAAAAGATGAAGTGACGAATTTCTTAATTCTTTTTGTTTTGTTGTCAGATGAGAACGCAAACGAGAAAAAACTTTTTAAACATAGAAACATGCGTAATACAAAGTAAAGATCAACAATATGTTAACACACACAGTTACATATGCCTATAAAAAACACATGTTTTACATTAATATTAGTAAATTAACTTTTTAATTTCTTGCTAAAAATTGTGTTCTGTATTAAAGTTTATTTCTGAGAATTTGTAATTATACCTAAAATAATCTGTTGTTTTTTTTTTGCGTCTGATTGCGGAAGAGAACGGACGTGTTTTTTTGCGTCTGATTGCGGAAGAGAACGGACGTGTTTTTGAAGCTTATTAAAAGTCTTTTACAGTTTAAAATTCAGAAAAGTTTCAAACAAAAATTAGAATGGTTAATCTTCAAACTGGAGAGTTTATAGCTTATAAAGAACTACAAGATAAACAAATTGAAGCTCTTGAAAATTTAGTATTTATTTAATAAAGCAGAATGACGAGTTGCAAAAACGTGTTGCTGAATTAGGAAATGAAAAATCAAGTAACCTAATTTCTAAAGCTTTATATAGTAGTTTTTTTACTTCAAATAAACCAGGAATAAACGACCAAGAAACGATTATTCCTATTCTTAACGCTGTCTACTTTGAAACCGCAGATAAAATAAAATAAGATAAAAATATATTAAGTTTTGGTGTTGAAGAATCAAAAGTAACAGATATTATGAAAATAAAAGACGACGATAAAAAAGCGCTTAACAAAATTTTTGATGTACTTAGATAAAAGCACATCGTAGTTTTTATTCTAAAAATAATAAACCGGGAATAATAATTGTATTAAACAATCAGTGCACGAAATAATTTTTACGGAAGCCAGGAAATTAAGTAAAATTAACGAATACAAAAGCAAAGTTTATATTAATCCAGACCTTACGTTAGCTCAACGAGAAAGTAAGAAAATATTAATCGCAGAAAGAAACAGATTAAATAATCTAGCTAAGAACCAGCCCTTTCGGTTTATTATCAAAGATGAGCGAGTTGTCAAGTTTAAAACTAATCAAAAAGATCAATTCTAATAATTTCTCTAACAATAAAAAAAATATCATCTCTTTAAAACAAAAATATTTAATAATAATAATTTAAAAATAAGTTCAACTAATAATTCAAATAAATAAGTATCTGTTTATCATTTTAACGCCAGAAGCCTTGCTAATAAACTACATGAATTTAATTTATATACGCAACTTTTTTTAACAATAAACTAACCAATGACATTGTTTGTCCTAATGGCTATTCAATTTATCGTTAAAACCGTGTGAAAATTGGAGGAGGAGTCGCTATTTATTGTCGAAATGATATTAAGTCCGAACAAGTTGCGATTACTCAAAACAATAATGATATTGATATTATCTGCGTTTTTAGTCTTTGGAGCCCTCAAACTTCATTTAATTACATGCTACCGTCCAACTTCTTATTCCAAAATAGATTTTGACTATCTCGTCTCTATGATGTCAATTATAAATGGTTTGTGCTACTCAGTTTCTCAATTTATTATTGTGGATGATTTTAACTTACCAAAAATTGACTGGCTACACTACATCTCACCGAACGAAAAATGTCATAGTTTATTTTTAACTCTAGTTAATA